AAAATTGTTTTTCGAGCTTGTTCTAGTTGCTTGTCTATTGTCGAAGTGTATCGAGGCATAAAAAGGGCAGTTTTTCACCGTTTATAACTACGGCAATTCCACAAAAAAGGAGATCAAAATGATTTCTCTTGGTGGAAATAGGACCTAACATTGGTATCTCGAAAAGTACACTAGGTAAAGGAAAGTTGATTACAGATATTTAATGATATGCACTGTCGTATTGTCTTATTGTTTTGTCGATTAGTCTGCGTATATGTTTGCTCGTCCGTTAAGCCAATGTTCGCAATTACACAAACACACACACACATCCAACTTTATCTTCACTAAATTATTTTTATAATTCAGTTATTAGACATGTTTTTTTTTATTTTATATATATATATTTCTTTACGCACAAAAAAAGAAAACTTACTACTGTAATTGTTATTTTTGCCTGAACTCCAGGCTTTCGACTTATAAATTTTATGAAGTCATTTGCGGCATTAAGTTGCAGTACCCCGAGTTCATATCATCCGGTTAACAAGGAGGTACACACCATCGAACACGGTCATATGTACGTTTGTATTTATACATACATAATGTATTGAATTCATATCCTTAATTTAGCACGTTTACAATAGTTACCAAGTCCTCAGATGACAATGGTGTTGAAGACGATGATAATGATAATGGTGATGATTATGACGATGAGTTTTTTGTAGTTAACTTTTGAGTTGTTGTTTTCATATATACTACCATGTAGCATGCACGTTGTAAAGGTCTTCTAAGTCTCGAAAAAGCTGGTTTATTATTGCCAGATCATAATTAATTTGACTGTACGTTGTAGATTGGATAATACAGGAAAAACAAAAATCTAATATTTTTTACTTTTTGACCCTTTTGGTGGATAAAACACGATAACATCAAGTTTTTAAATCATTCACCTAACTTTATTTAAACTTTATTTATTAACTATTAATTAATTTAAAACTTTAACTTATTTAAATATAATTTTGTTAAGTTTAGTAATATTAGTTTTTTTCTAACATTTTTTTTTTTTGTTTTTCAACACGAATTATCTTCTGTTCTTTCTTTTATTCCGTGGCCTTCTGTATTCAATTTTTTTTTTATTTTCTTATCACTTTCCACGAACGACTTTCCATACTGAACTTCACTCCATGACAGCCTTTTAGCAAATGACTATACTGAAATCTCATTTAGGTTTGCTTTGATCTGTAACTCAATGTTTATGACTGGCTTAGTCAGTATGGACAACATTGCGCATAATTTACCCTTATATTATGCAGACGGACTTTGGCTTTTTTATTTTTATGATTCCTCTCTTCAATCTCAATTATTATACGTGAGGAATTATGAAAAGAAAGCCATATTAGCGGAATTCCGCTTTTAAATAACATACTGCTCTCCTGTGAAAAATAAAAGAGTAAGTAGATCGACAGAAACCCCCTACACCTGTGTGCGCGGACGTTACAGCTGTAGTGTTAAATTATGCTCGGACTTTCATAAGACTTTGCCTTAAAATTAGCAAAATAATGTTTTTTATGCAGATTGCGATAAGACCATTGAAAAAATAAATCACAAACTTTCATTATAGAAAGCTGATCGTCCAGGTCTTCTATCTGATTAAGTGCATAACGTCCTACTTAAAGATTTTAATACAAAAAGTTCGTTTCAAGTCTGCTCAGAGATTCCTCAAGGTAGTCGTTTGGGTCCTATATTATTTGCTGTACATTCTAACGATCTTCTTGTGGTTACCCAGTATGCTCAAAGATTTATATATGCAGATCATGTTCACTCATGTTTACCTTTTAATTTCCGAGAAAATCCGCATCTAGCCTAAGCGTGGTACATAGAAATCGCATGATGTTATGGTATAAAGTACCATATCATCAAACTTTAAAAAGTTCAATATGTTAGCATTCCCTTCGGTGCGTTTTACCCTACCATTTAATGCATTCCAATTTCATGCTTGACGTCGAGTTCTTCTTCAATTTATATATAACACCTCATTCAATATTAAGAAAGAAAAATAGAAGTAAAGCATGTACACAACTAGCACAGAGGAACACCCACAACCAGTACAGGTCTAAGTTGCAAGTGAGCTCCTAAGCTATTGCAAACATGCAAAAGTTTGACAACCGATAACACCAGGTAATTTTCGAATCATAGTGAGATGTTAAGATCGTGGTTTGATACGTGTCAAAATTTTACGACTATCTGAAAGTTAGTTTGTAGCTTTGTAATTTTCGAAACAGTGGATAAAGCAAATTTTATGTGTTGATTAAACATCATTTTTTGATGGAACTATATGTTGCTGAAGGCAAACAGTGGCTTGATAAGTCTTATGGAGGTTGCTTCAGAGAAATTAACTATTGTTAACTGGTGTGCTCAATTTTAACACGATCGTGAAAACATCTATGGTGATGGTCGCCCGAAATGGGTGATTGTTCCACGAAATATACATATTAGATTGCTCAGATTTTTGGTTAAAGCCCTTACCTTCGATGAATTTGTCACAACAGCAGCGGTCCTTCAAGGTAGCCACTTAGAACCCTTGCTATTTTTCCTCTACATTAATGGTCCCCCATCGGTGTTTAAGGCAAGCTGTAATGATGTTAAGTTGCTCTCTTCCTTTACCTCGATCCTGTCCCAAATGTATATTGGTTCATAGATTTAGTGGTTTTATTTGAACAAAGATTGCCTTGTAGTCTGCAAATTGAGCGCTCCATTGATAAAGATAGATCAGCGCCTGGCTTTATTAAAAGTCCAAACAGCTTGACGATCCATGTAACAAAAAGATTATACATGACTGGTGAGCAACGCTTGAATACGCCTCGGTCATATGGTCTCCTGTCTATAGGTGTTCCATAGATTCAATAGAATCCTTTTGGAAGCAATCCTTGCGTCTCGTCCTTAGGAATTTAGTATGGAATCCGCTACTTTCCTTTCCACGTTATCAAAATATATTGCTTCTTTTAGCCCTACTTTCACTAGAGAAAAGTATCCTAATAGGGGTTTCTTTGTTGGTTAAGTTTATCAATGGCGTTATCGGTACTCTTACATTGTCAGAAGATATAAACTTCAATGTTCCTAGCTGTTCTTCTAATAACTTTATTGTTTTATTTATTGTATTTATAAAACTTGGTCACTGTAGATATATAATAATTATAAGCTTTTTAATCCGTTCAGGATATTGCATCAGTATGTAACAAGCATGGACCAACTCATACAGACCCGGATCAAAAAGATCGTCAGTTGAGGGGACAACAGGCAGTGGAAATCGTCCAAAGAGTCAAAACTTACCTGATGAAGTCAACAAATACATATCGTGGGATACGCATCAACTATCTTGAAAGGAGACAAACGATCATTTCATTTCAATGTACAAATTAAGAAAAAACGATCTCACAACCAACAGAAAAAATTGCTGTTTCACCATGTCAATGCCACGTGTCACAATTTAATGAAAATTATGCTTAAATTGAATGAATTACTCTTCGCATGACTTCCAAATTCATCCTACTCCTCAAATTTGACCCCAGCGATTACTGGCATCTTGCAAACATCAGAAAAATGCTGCAGAGAGAGAAAGCTAGCTCAAATGAAAAAGTTATTGCCGAAACTGAGGCTTATTTTGAGACCAAACACAAACCGTTCTATAAGGAAGATATCGAAAAGTTAGAGGAGCGTTAGAATGACGGCATAATTCTTAAAAGAGAGTATATTAATAAATGAAGTCGAGTTTCTTAAAAAACTTTGAACTCACCAACATTTGTGTAAATAAAACATTGTTAATGAGTCTTGCCAGACCCGGTTGAGTTTATTTTAAATATTTTCGCTACATACTTTTGACTGGGACTCTTTACCTACTTACAAATAGAGTTACAGTTATTGGTTGGTGGTGAAGTCGTAGATTAGGTTGCGGCAGATAGGCTGAAAAGTTTCCGCCCGTGGTGTTTCTTAAAATTTTTGCTATTTTTGACGCGCATTTTCTGTTTG